TCGAGAGAGGGTCTTGCTAAAATGCCCAAGCCAGCCTCAAATATACAATCTTCCTGCCTCAGCCTCCCAAATTGGTGGGATTATAGGTTTATACCACCACACCCAGCCAAGAGTTTAAATCTTGATAGGAATTTAGGTCAGACTCAAAACTTAATGAGTGTTCACTATGAAATTGTATATTTCGTTTCATATAAATTTTATATGTAGTTAATTATATGCATCCTGAAGTACTGAGAGGCAAGTGTACTGATGTTTGCAATTTTCCCTGTCATAAACATAAATAAATAGATAAATAAATAAATAAATAAATAAATAGACAGGGATGGGTCTGTAGCTCATTGTCAGAGCACTTGCCTAGTATGTGTGAGGCCTGGGTTCAATCCTCAGCACTGCATACCAGTAAAATAAAGGCATGCTATCCATACACAACTATTAAAAAAAAAAAAAAATACTGGATGGATACATGGATTGAAGAATGAACAGATACATCCTAACTGGTAACACCTTTTTTTTTTAATTTATTTTTTAGTTATAGGTAGATACAATATCTTTATTTTATTTTTAATATCTTTATTTTATTTTTATGTGGTGCTAAGGATCGAATTCAGTGCCTTCTATCTCTGAGCCACAACCCAGCCCCTAACTGGAAACATCTGATAGAATTTAGATGACGATATTCAGGTACTGACTCTCAAATTCTTTCAACTTTGTTATTATGTCTGAAAATGCTTATAATAAAATGTGTAGGAAAAATATGAAAGTGGTAAGTCACAAGAAAACAGAGGTCATATCTATAGTCACCACTGACACAGATCCTCAAAGCCAGAAATCCATTGCAGGAGGGCAAACTCACCTTATCCTTATAAGTATCAGGCAGTGACTTGGCTGTCTCTGTGTCTTCAGGAAGATTGATATAAAATCCCAGGACATCCCCCTGTCCATAGCCAGAAGAGTAGTGTTTTCCAATAGACTGGTGAAATTTGGTTCCTTTTTTGCTTCTCCAAGAATAACTAAATTTATCATAACCCAGGGGAGCTTGAAGGTTACCTGTCTCAATAAAAAAGATATATAGGAAATCAGAGGACTACAAGTGAACTCTGGTTTGCAAAAGGAAAAGATTCTACTCCTTTTTATTTTATATTATTTGTCAATTCTGTAAACTGCTTATAAACTATTTTTCAAAAGTATTCCAGAACTTGCAAATCAGCTAACCCTTCAGAAACTGAATTTTATGATAAACACAGCAGTCTTAAAACTAAGCCAGATAGGTCTAAATCTGTCTATCTGCTGTGATGTCCACAATATAGCCCCAGCTTACCTAGAGGCTGGGACCAACCCAGTCTGGCAGCAGTGTCTGGTGGCATCTCATCCACGGTGATTTCAAAGTACCAGGCACCTTTCCGCACTCCATGAGAAGCCCGAACCATGGAGTAGCCCTTTTCTCCAATAACAGTCAGACGGTCGTCAGAGATTTTTAACTGTGGAGCTGCAGTGATGGACATTAAAACAGAAGCCTTCAACTTATTTTTTGAGGAATTTAGAGACATAGCCCCTTACACTCAAGATAAGACAATAAAAGTCAGGAAAATCAGGTCAGATGTTCAAAATGTTAGTTCAGGAGTCTAAAATCTCAACACAAGATCCAGACAAAAGAGAAAGGAAGAAAATGTTAGGTTGTCTGTCTCTTTTCTTCTTTTTCTGTGCAGGGCTGGGGATCAAACCCAGGGCCTCTTGCATGCCAGGCAAGTGCTCTAACTGTGGGGAGCTATATTCCTAGCCTTTGGTCTTCTAGTTTTTATTAAATGTAATTATATTTAAGATAACAGGTTAAAATTACATTGCATATCCCCTAAAATATAACAAACCAATTGTAATGTGTTTGGATCCTGATTTGAATAAACCATCCTTTAGAAAACTTATTTTTTAGGTATTGGGAATTGAACTCAGGAATGCTTTCCCCTGAGCCACATCCCAGCCCCCCCCCCCTTTTTTTGAGACAAGGTCTTGCTAAATTGCTTAATGCTTTTCTAAGTTGCTGAGGTTGGTCTCAAACTTGTGATCTTCCTAC